AATACTCTCCTCAATACTCTTCCTCTTTTCCTCAATACTCTCCCTCTTCCCCCAACTCTCCTCAATACACTCCCTCTTCTCCCCAATACTCTCCCTCTTCCCCACAGTACTCTGACATGGAGTCTACATGCTCCAATTCTCCATCTCCCTCTCTCGTATTCTCCCCTCTCTCCGTCTCACTACTCTCCCCATTCATCCTATAGTTATTGATTTTTTGTTTTTCTATTAAATTAATATTATTTTGTAATTTCTTTATAGTTAGAAAATTTAATTTTAGTTATTTCTTAACAATTTTTTCCTTGTAATCAGTGCCATTATGAATTTTAATAAGAATTATTTCTTTATTCTCTCTTTGTTGTTCACTTGCAGGGGTATCAGCGTCTCATGGAGGCATACATTTAGGATGCCCAACGCGCTCGCAGATCTCATGGAAAATGACGGAGCTGACATCACAAACTGTCTTGGACTACCTCTTGGCTAGCTGATGAACCTTTTTCTCCTTTTTGTTCACTACTCACATACATGTTGTTAATAGGGTGTTATATAATCCCTTGCGGAGCCAACTCATTGTTGTCACAGTATTTGGCTTTTTGGTAAAGGGATTACCTTACCCGTTAGGGTTCTGGTAGATCCCAATTTTTGTAAGGGACGCTAGACCCAACACCTGTATTTACTTTTTTTTTATTCAATGGAACAGTTAACTTTCTGAAAAAAAACATGAAAAATTAATGTGGTTTGTCTCTACATTTTGCAATCTACTGAAATACAATGTTCTGAAATTGAGTATAATTGGAATTGTAGACAAGGAAAATTCTCTAGAGCTTTGTTGTTTGTTTCTTACATGATTGTATTCAGAAAAAATGGACCAAGGTTTGCAAGCAAATTATACTTTATCCTTGTTTGATAATTGTAGGACCTGTTTTCTGTTTTGGGCATTCTGATTTTGCCTTTAGCAGTGTGATGTGGGTCATATAATTTGCATCAAGTGGAGCCCATGCCAGATAGAGTGAAGCCCTTCCCTCTCTTGGTTGCTGGTGCAATTTTCTATGCTGATCTCTCTCTCTCTCTCTCTCTCTCGCTCGAGAATAACGCATACATGACACTGTTTCTCAGGTGATTTTTGACATTGTTGAGGCTTCCTGTGTTTACTTGTTTTTTTAAAATTTCATGCTTTTGATGGGTTCAGTTTCTGTGTGTGATATAGGCATTCTTTATAGGCTTCTTGAATGTGGAAAGCAGCATCGGAGTGTCACTAAATATGGATGCTTAACTGAATTTAACCTCCACTGTGGTGTTTCCCACTTGGGATGATGCTGGGATGTGAATTTGAATGGTCATAGCTGATGTTTATTAAGCACTTGGTGAAAACCATGTCCTAGATTGCCACCATTCTGGAAATGGTCATTTATGATTTGAATTTGACCTCTAAAACTTTGAGTGGGTTATCATATTAACCTGCTAACTTCTCTTACTGGTTATCTATAATGTCCCCTTGAAATGTTAGAGGCAAAGCTACACTTGATACAAAGTTTTGTGCATTTTTATGGCAATCTGTTCGAGGAACGGTAACGTGGCACCTGCTCTGTTTGTGTTGGAGCCCCATTAAATTTGCTTTCGATTTTGGCCCTCCTTCAACTCTCCTTGTACTAAATTTCTCTCTCTATCATTCTTCTGTTTTTATATGAAATTATGAATTCTATACTACCACGTTGGTGCTGGTCTCATCAACACAAGAACCACCTTCGCTTACTTCCAAAATATTTAGAATTTAGATTTCAGAGAACTTCTCTTCCCACTCACCAAAGAAAAACACACACACACAGATGTTTCCAATTGGATGTCTATAGGAAACGAGTTGCAAAGGAAACTGCAGTTACAAATCAAGGAGCATGCAAGGTACCCCCAAAAGATGGCCGATGAACGACAGATATGCTGTGAGAATCTAGTCAAAAGCCAGAATTTGTACATTCCTTTTCAGGGAAACATCTCATAGATCTTGAAACATTGAATCAAGTTTAAATTATGAACTTTTGGACAGGACTCCATCAAGATTCAGTTTAGGAGATGGCCAAGAAGCTTGAATGAGCTGGTGGCAGTCTTAGACTGCATCTGGGTTGTGGGTCTTACTTTAGCATGAGACAGTGATGCCATCAGAGTTGGGTCAAGTCAATTTATCAATATATATTGTCTGGGGTTCCTCTTAAACGGGTAAACTATCACAATTTACCCCTAAATTTTCAAGCTTATGCAGTATTTACTTCATGGTGTATATATCATGTTCAATACCTATTGCTTTTATCATGGCTGAAATGTTGAGATCTTGAGATTTTAATTACTTTTGTAAAGCATTTAAGCATTTTTTGCTTTTGTTCCTTATGACAATGGTTCAAAATATCAGTTGGTTTACCTTCTCTTAATTTAATGGTAACATGGTTTGGAACAGTTGGCATGATGTGGATGTGGAGGTGCGACTGGTGCAACTGCTCCTACCTGAGTCCCGAACTCTTGACCATCATCCATGGGGCTCCTAGTCGATACACTTCGCATGGATTGCAGTCCAGTTTTTACCCAGCTTCTAGCTCTTATGGCTACTCTCTCTCTTTCTCTCTATCTCTCTCTCTCCCTCTGTTCGTTTTTTGTTTCTGTTTCGATGGGTCCCTTGTTTCTACTCTGGTTCTATGTGTATTAATGCATATTGTTTGTTGATGGGTGATTGGTCTCTCTCTCTCTCTATATATATATCTCTCTGTCTCTATATCTCTCTCTCCTGTTTGCTTTTTGTTTTGTTTTGATGGGTTCCCTGTTTCTACTTTGTTTCTGTGTATTAATGCATACTGGTTGTTGATGGGTGATCTCTCTCTCTCTCTCCCTTTGTTCCTTGTTTTTTGATGAGATGCTCTGTCTTTGTATAGTTCTTACTTCTAAGTTATCTGAAATGAATAATGTGAAGGCTAATAAATCTGCACACAAAGAGTACGTTCGTGACTTGAGGTACGTGTTTGTGACTCTCTCAAAAATTTTTTTTTTTTTAACTTTTGATCGTTGAACTTTTAGTTGCACGCATACATGTATTTATTAATCATCCATGGGCAATATATGGACTTATTCTTTTTCACAGTTTCTCATGGACGGACCTGAAGTTTTGCTCTTGCTCGGATGATGATACTATTAAAGTATGGGACTTTGCTCGATGCCAAGAAAAGCGGAGCTGGAAATTGTACCTTACTTATCGAGTTGGCTTTGGAGAACCTGTAATTTTCTCTGTTTAACGTACTAAATTTTGGGAATGGGGTTGAGGTTGTGGTAGTAACACCAGTTGAGCCTCCTCAGCTACTGGTTTAGGTTTTTATTCCCACTAACGCATTTGAAAATTGCTAATTATTTCTAAAAATGGGTAGGGGCCTGTATTTTCTGTGTTTAACATATTAGTACAGCGCCGTGCAAAGCATGGCATGTACCAAGATCAATGAACTATGGAAAAATGTTCAAATCCAAGCAATTTGTAGTAAAATTTGAAAAATAATATGAACTAATGCAGTAGCTTTTTGGTAGAGAAAACTTTCATTGTTAAGGAGATTATATTCATTGTTGAAGCTGATATAGTAAGCATCAATATACAAATAGATCAGGCTTCTGATGAATTAAAATAAACTCCTGGAACTCTGAAGTCTGAAGCTTTTAAAGATAAATCTAGAGGAAAAGGTAGTCTAATCGAAGTACTCTATAGAAAAAAGTAAAGAACAAAAAAACAAAGAAAAACTAAAAAATGGTCAAATTAATAGAAACAAAACGTGCATTACCAGTGAGGTCGTTTGCATACTCATTGTTAAACTTGCCAAGATGTACATACAAATTGATTATTTCATGTAACTATTAGATTCTTGTTATCATGTGCTATAGATATCCCATTTGGGGATTCCTTTGTGTGTGTGTGTAACTGGACTCTACTTCTATGTGTTGGGTATCTATATCCTATATGCTCTGTCATATTAGGTTTCTCATATCTAACCCTTAACAGTGGCTTTATATATGATAATAGATAAAATAATAAAGGGATTGTGGCAAATAATACAATTGAGACCACTGGATGTACTTAATCCCCTGGACTATGTAGTTCAATAAGACACTTTTACTAAGCACAATCAACTGACTAATAAGCCTTTGTAATGGGCTCCATCAATTTCCTACTCTGCTTCTCAAGTATCAAAGCTAAATTATATCCATTCATGGAGAACATTGGTCCGGATTGCAAGTTTAAGCATACCTTATTCTGATACAACTACCCCAGTACTTTTGTGAGCGCACAAATGCTTCACTGGCCCTGTCATTTCCTTCTTAACTGCTGATCCGGTCCTTCCCCTATTGTCTTTCTTGTAGGTACCTCTTAATACATTATTTAAATCTGCACATCATTCGTTATCTCCTTGGGGCTTCACCTTATGGACTCAGGCCCTTATCCTTGTGAAATACCCAAAAGCCTCCAACGATGTATTAAACTCTACCCATACTCCTCCGTGAGAATCTATTAGCATATGATTACTTCGCATTTCGCATTTGGTTGTTAGTTCTTTTTATGGCTCATTACGTAGTTATATGCAATTATTTATCCATTGGAACTCTTGTTTGGCCACACTAGAAAAGATGCATGTGATGGGGTTTGGAGAACATCTCTCCTCCAATTCAAAACTACATCTTGATTGCTTTAGAGCTGCCCTTTAGATTATTTATCTTGTTTATATCATTTATTCTATTGAAACTCCTGCTGTTTAGTTTTCTTATAGCTCATTGCTTGGTTATATGCGATTGTTTATCTGTTGAAACTCCTGTTGGGCTAATATTCTTTCCTTGGTGAGTGTAAGATCACTATTAGATTTTTTTCTCGATTGTACTTCATATTAGATTTATTGTGTATGCACTAAACTGTGTTTTTTACGTCTTCCATAATTATTTCTTATTTTTTGGGTCGCAGTATTTTTTATTTCATTGATACATTTTCTCATTTTCTTGTGCGATCCTCATTTTCCTTCTTTCTATTTGTCCTTCCTTATCATCTTCGTTCTCCTCAAGCCGTCATACATTTTCTCCTTGTTCCAAACATTCTTCTGAAACCTAATCTAGAAATATGTTTACACCCTTGCTAAGAAGTTCTTTGATAACTGCACCTGTTGCTTTGAATTGGAAGATGCAGGCCTTGGATGATACATTTTATTAGTTTTATCATGTTAAAGGGATGATACATGCAATTATTGCAAACAAGGGATAACCTGAGATTCTTTTTTGTGTGTAAACTCAGACAGGTCACCTATGGGATGTAAAGAGTGTTGACTGGGACCCTACAAAATCTCTGTTTGTTTCAGGTTCGGATGTAAGAATTGTGTTACATATCCTGCACTTTGCTTCATTGCTATGCAGTGCTGTGATGATGTTTTATGTACCGGAACGGTTATAGGTCGCAAGGAAAGCCTTGTGAAACTTTGGGATGCAAAATTAGGGAAAGAATTTTGTTCGTTGTGGGTTGGAACACATTTTCACTGAAAGATGAGATTTGCTTCCATGAAAATTTAATGATTCACTTCCATTTAAATATAATCAATACAACTTGGCGTTTATAAATGTGCAGACATGGTCACAAGAATTGGGTGTTTTTTGTCAAATGGAATCAAAATTGTAACTGGGTGCTCACTTCTTCAAAATATCATATCATTAAAGTCGGCATCTTTTATGCGGCTTCTGTAAGTTCATTATTTTACCTTTCTAGGTTGCTCATGTTTTCTAATGTTGCATCTTGAATATGGCTGTATTAAATAATCTGGTGGTTGCCCGAGATCTGGCAATTTCGATGACTATCTATGGCCTACTTTGAATTAATGTGTTCTTTTAGCTGTGAGCTTATCTTCTTGTTCTTGATGAAACCATTGCTTCATGATCTCGTATTATAGTTTGCACTTTCCATCTCAGTATTACTGTACTAACTTTGGAACAGATGTAGTAATAGGTCTTCTGTGTTGAGATTGGTGTTCAACATGTTTTCCACAAATCATGTTTCTTTTAGTTTAAGGAAGTAAGGTTGGGAACTTGGAATGTTCAGGGATGAAAGTGGCTATATAATTATAGTGCTAATGATCAACTTTGGGGTCACTCCTTTCTCAAGGACTGGGCCCTTGGAGACCATGCAGTCATGCATTTTTGTATGCATTTTTGTATGAGGCCTCAGAGGATTGCTTTTTATATAGGCAATGTTATCAATGTCATTTGATGGGAGATGAATGATCTCCCATACTCCCATTATATTTAGCATTATTATTTTATGGTATGAAGGATATTTCGTGGTTGATTGCTATAGTCGTTTCTGCACATGGCCCTGCTAATGATGTGGTGGCAGGTTAGCAAATCATGGTTATCCGGATGATCATGAGGGACATTTTGATCATATATAGCCTTTTCTTTCATTTAGTGATGATATTATTTTGCTGTAAAGAGAGTTTTTTTTAATATACATACTGGGAGGATCTCTTGCTTTTTTGTTACTTCAGCAGATCTTTGGGATGAGTTATTTTTATTTTTTTTTTGCATCTTTTGAGAATGTCCACATGATCATAGTGCAAATTAATATGCTTTTGTTCAAGTTCACCAAATGCTATTGAGTTGATTCTACATATACCTATACAAGCACACATAGATGCTCGTCGACTCCGTGATGCATGCATAATTTTTTAAAGGCTTGTTGATGCATGCATAATTGTTTGCAGACATTCTTTTTCTTTAACAGTGTATAATAATCCATTAACTTATTCCCCAGTGCTACTATCTCGACCCAGCTCACCATTTAAACCTTTATCATATTTTCAGTTTTATGATACTATGAAGGAGCTTGAATTTTATTGTGGACATTGCAAGGATGTTACTGGTTGATAATTTGTTTGTAGTTTATTCTTTTCTAATTTATTACTTTATACATAATAGAAGCATCCGCAATGGTCATTATACTTTTGCACTTTTAAGCACTTGTAATCCATCTGGTGGACTCTTTTTTTTATTGTTTACTTACAAGTTACTTGGTTTAACTTTGTAACAACTAACAAGTAACAAATTGATTTGGTTGTGTGGTAATTGTGGACTCAATTGGTATGCATGGTAGTTGCTTCTTTTTTTTTATTATATCTGCTCATGCTTTGAACTCCTGTCTATGGCTTCTTTTGCCTAAATATTTATGTATATCTATTTACTCTGTTTGATGGTGCCGGCATTTAACCCAATCAAGGATAAGTTTCAAGTTTGTGATTTGTACAAGAATTTATTAGTATATGATATGATATCTATAACTCTATTGTTGATGTTATCATTGATAATATTTATGTTTCTCTCAATTCTTTTTTCATCACAAGCACCGTATTGACTTCATCCGAGGGGCTAAATTCCGGCCCGTGGTTTTAGACTATCTAGGGTCCTTCTTAGATGCTTCGATGCAAGTTCACCACAAACTTGTCTTATTTTCAATGTAATCAATGAATGAATGAGAAACATTAACAATTTCATGTAAGCTTTGATCATTTTTATTTGCGCTAGGTATCAATATAGGGAGATCATATCTGATAATGTATTTTTAAAATAAATATTTAAAATAAATATTTGCTAGCTTTGGCATGGCATCCATTTCATGAAGAGTATTTCGTGAGTGGGAGTTACGATGGATCTATGTGTCACTGGCTTGTTGGGTAATATCTCTTTCCTTTCAATTGAAGCCACATAAAACGAATAAATCACACAAGTTGCTGGCAGTATAAGCTTGTGTCTCTCTGTCCTATATATGTTGGGTGCTATTGAAAAAGGTAAATTGATTCCAAATTTATCTCAATTTTCCTCTTATTAAGGCAAATAGATTCCTGATTTATAAGTTATTGATCCAGTGAGCATTATTTTTTTAATACATTATGATGTAGAACCAGAAAATTAAACATATTTCAAGTAAAGCACAAGCAACAATTTTGAAGAGAACCAAGGTTTCCTCACCAAAACCTTAACTAGGGAGCAAAAAGCTTCCTTTTCCTTTTACCCCCTTTTCAAAGTCATGTGGATAGGTTCCTAACCCTCCATGCACCTCTTTTTATATCTTAAATGGAATATGAAAAGCTCATAGTATCCTTCACCAAAATAAGATTGACTAAATAGTTCTAACTTAAAATTAAATTCATAATAACATGTCTATAAACTCTACACTTGATAAGACAAAATGTTCAACTCTTAAAATCCAAAAAATATAGAAAACCCTATAATCCTTAAAAAACTTAAAAATGTTGAAAATAACCTTAGAAATAAATTAAAATATACATCCTTGAAAATTAAAAAAGAAATGAAAATTAGAATAATTTGGTCATACATCAGACTCCTTTAATTGGAGAAAACTCATCATCAAGTTTTGAAGTAGGTTTCGTATTAGTTCCAAAACCTTCTTCAAGCTCAATATTATGCTTTGAGATTACACATTGAGATTGGGATTTCGAAATCAATAGACTAGCACATTTTGAGAACACCTCGAAGAGAGTGTCATTCTATGTTGATGGTGTTTGTCTAGCCACATAAACTTGTTGAAATGGCCTAAGTTCAACCCTAGAACATACCGCGTGGTCATCTTTGAGATGACAGCTGGATTCGATTGTCCAACCAACAACTTCATCTATTGATTGTCCTTGGACTTCATAGTTTTCTTTCCCAAAGATCAGCTCAACCACGAAATATTGTTCATTGTCGTATATTAAATTTTCTACAAGATATTGTTCTTTAATTGAGCAAGCTCAAAGATTGATTGAAAATCCCAATATACAGCCCATTGATTTTGGAGACAATGTTCGTTAAAATAATGAATGTCCACCTTCAATTTGAAGACCTTAAAGTAATGTCCCCCACGTTTAGGTCTTCTATTACTTTCCTCTTCACTCGACTCCTCATGCAGAGCATGAGCTTGTGCTTTGCATCTTCTTTACAGAAAGCTCATCGTCTTACCCGTGATTGATAGCCATGAGTTGTTGTGCAAGTTGCTGAACTTGTCTTCTGAAATCCTTAATCTCTTCATCTTTGGCATCTTAGGGTAGGTCTACTGGAGCTCTCCTTCCACGATCCTTTCTTTCTGTCATAGGTTCATCGAAATCACAAATCCTAGAGATAAAAGTCAACAAACTCTAAGCTGAATTCGGCAAGTTCTAGGTAGAAATTACTAAACATGGGCCGAATAAAACTAACAAACTGTAGACTTGACCGAAGATTTCCACCCATGCTACTCAAGAATCATGTGTTCTAATGCCAATTGATATGGATATTTATGAAAAAAAACAAATTAAAAGTTTCCAAGCAAACTCAAGAATCATGTGTTCTAATGCCAATTGATATGGATATTTATGAAAAAAAACAAATTAAAAGTTTTCAAGCAAAGGACAAGCACTAACTAAATGGAACTAAAGTTTCCTCCCCAATAACCTAATTAGGGAATAAAAGCTTTCTTTTTTTTCTTTTTTTTCCTCTTTACAAAGTCATGTGATCTAGACCTCCACCTGTGTCTTGTACATCTCTAGGATCTCTCGCGAAAACTATGAATAGCTTGATCTCTCGCGAAAATTACTCCGCTTCCTTGCCTGTCTAGCGTGCCTTAGGTGTTGTTCTTTTCACGTGCAACGATCCTTGTCGTTTTGTTCCCTCGGCTCCCTTCACCAAAACAAGATTGACAAATAGTCATATCTTAAATCAAAATTCGTATTAATATTTCTTACCTACTAAAACAATTATTCCATAAGCAGTCTAACTACTTTTCTGAACAACTCCTAGAATCCTAAAAATACAAAAAAAAACCCTAGAATCCCCAAAACACTTAAAAGCCCTTAAAATATACCCTAAATTAAAATTAAAACATTACATAAGAAGAAAAAATAAGAGTAATTTTGTCTTTCATCACAGTACTAATAATGACATTTATTTTTTTATAGTTATGGTTCTAATTTGTTTATACCTCATCTTGTGGAATTGCAGCTACCAGCAAATGGATAGGCACAAACAAAAACAACAGAAGAAAAAATAGAAAAGAAAAACAAATGAAAAATGACTGGCGAGGGAATTTGATTTAGAAAGTATACAAAAGAGACTATTTTTTTTTAATAAAACGACGTCGCAATCACTCTCTTCCATCAGATTTTGAATCGGGTGGTTGTGAGTGTATTATTCACTAGGCTCAGGCTTCAAAAAAAAAAAAAATCCTCAAAATTTCTCGCACATCGGAAAGCATCCAATTTGATATGTAATGGCTAGTAGTAATCATGCTCTCTTTGTAATAATATAACTAAACTTATAATATAGAATTCCATATAAAGCTATATTACGGTGGGGTGGGTCTGATCCAACATATAACAATTTGCGCCTATATATCAAACGGGAAATAAGGAACCTATGGAATGTTATATTATTATTTATGGAATTGTTACTTAGAAATTTAACATAATGAATTTAAGGATGGTCCATCATTAATTTATAAAGTTAAAATAGATTTCATTCCCCCGAGAGAGCATTGACTCCCTCGGTTAATGCTATGATTATTTTTAAGACTTTAAATTTTGTTGATGTAAGATCAT